TGGCTACTCCCTTTCCCTCTGGGTTCAAGTGTGTGAAGGGGCCAGAGGAGGAGAGCGTTGGAGAAGAGGAGAGGCGCCGATTTCACTCGTTGGTGGGCAGCCTCATGTATGCGGCGGTAAACACCCGACCGGACGTCGCGTTTGCTACCGGGCAGCTGGCTAGGGTTGTGCAATGCCCTAATGAGGAGCAGATAGCAGCTGGAATGAGGGTGGCCAAGTATCTTGGCCAAACACCGACCGTTGGGCTGCAATACTCGGCGGCGGCACAAAGGCGCCAAAAGGGCGCGGATGGTGTTGAACCCGGGCGTTTGTTCCTCACCGCCTACTCGGATGCTTCATATGCATCAGAACCAGAGGACATGACAAGTGTGGGAGGCTTCATATGCTGTGTTGGTGGAGGCCCAACTGCTTGGGAGAGCAAGAAGCAGGTTGACCAAGCTTTGAGCTCGGTGGAGTCCGAGTACATGGCACTCTTCCGTGCCGTACGGGAGATTGTGTGGCAGCGGCGTTTGTTGGCTGAATTGGGGGAGGAGCAGCAAGGACCTACCCCACTGTACTGTGACAGCCAGGGTGCCATTGCTCTTGCTAAGAACCCTGTGTTGCATGGACTCACGAAGCACATGAGGGTGAAGTGGCATTGGACGAGGAGCATGGTAACCGCGGGTGAAGTTGAGTTGCGCTACGTGAAGACCACGGGGCAGCCGGCTGACATGATGACCAAGAGGCTGGTGGAGCAGCAGCATTGGAAGTGTTGCAAGCTGGCTGGGATGGCTCTGAACTGAGAGAGCAACATATCCTAAGGCCAACAATCCGAGGGTGAGTTTGTTGGTGCAACCCTACGGTTTGCACTCGGCTTGTTGTCCGTGTGCGTGCATGTGTGTGTGTATGGAATGGTATGAGGGCATGGAATAATATATATTTCATGCTTATAATTGTGTGTGAATGTCGAGTCATGATGTCGAGTGTGTGTGTTGAGTCAATAGCGAGTTATCGCTAGACGCGTGTTACGCGGTCGTTTGTGTCTCGCGCGCGGTTTCTATTTTGTCGTGCGCGGTTTCTATTTTGTCCTGTATCGAACGTTCGGCGTGTCGCAGGTGTGTGCAGCAGACCCATCAAGAACTCAAGGATGAGTTTGTGATGAAGAGCCCGAGCCTTGGTGTCAAGCCTCAAGTGATTTCGAAGCTCGCCAAAAGGGTACACCTCAAGATATTGAAGATAGTTACATTACTTTGTGTAGTGTAACATTTCACTTGGTGTAGGCCCTAGTGAAGGGTAGTTTCGAGACCCTTCGTGGTTGGGGACAGTGTGGCACTGTTCCACATCACTGTACCTCGGCTCTTGGGGTTTGTAGGAGCTGGGAGTCATTCCCAACTCGTAACTCTTCCTATCTTGTGTTCTAAGACTATAGTGGCTGCCATAGTGCCGTTCGTTCAAACTGACGTTGTGTCGTCAATACTTGGTGAAATCGTGCGATCTAAATTGCCTATTGTAGGCGACAATAAGACGCTCCAGATCCAAGTTGAATCAAGTCATTTGAAGCTGTGACCAGAACGCTATGAACGTTTGAAGCCGCTGTGCAGAAATCCGGCTGTGCACTCTATCTTTCGTTTTAGGCACATTGGAGCCTACTGTGACTATAACAGCAGCAGCAGCAGCAGCAGCAGCACATCAGACGAGTGGTACAGCAACAGCTGTTGATCCAGCAGCAGCTAAGCAGCAGTCCAGCAGTGCAGCAAGAAGTATTGCTCCAGCAGCAGCATCGCAACATCGCGGCAGTGGAGTAAGGCCCAGCGCAAGCGCTCTATAACGAGCCATCCTTCACGCAGCATCAGTTTGAAGAAAAGCCACCCAGAAGCAGCGTCGATGGTGGCGGTGCAGGAGAAAGGGGAGATAGAGAGCAGGTGGAGAGGGTGAATGACGGTTGGGAGGGCATGAAGAGAAATATTGAATGGCTAGTGGTGGGTACAGGAGACGCTCCAAGTTGAAAAGAGCCAGATCCTTCTGGGGCATGGCAGATTGTGCAGAGGGCGATGCGCATTGGGGAGGAGCACATGGCAGCATCAGAAAGAGTGACAGTACCACCTCCATCAGCTGCTACTTCTCTGGTAGCAGCCAGATCACTCCAATCCCTCCCCCTCTCCCACACCCCAACCGGAACTCCTGTCCAAAATCCCTTTCTCCCACTCATGGGAGCACCGAATCAATGAGCTGGCTACACGGCTATCTCTCAGCAACAGCAGAACCACAGCGCACGCCAACAGGGCTGTTACCAGCAGGTGATTGCGGGCCCTGCCTCTTCTTGGTCTGCTCCTCTGCACCGGCTCGACCCTTCTACTTCTTCTTCCATCGCTGCATCCTCCTCTGGTGCCCCTCAGCCTCTTCAATTTCAAACTCCAGCAACCCTTCCAAGACACACCGCCGCTGCTGCTGCTCCTCCAACTCCTGCCATTGCCGTTTCTGCTGCTGCTGGTACTAGTTTTACTCCAGGCGGTGCTGCTGGGTCTTCTGAGCTAGGTGACAGAGCAGCAGGTCACTGGATTCGGCATGAGGATATGCATAAACTGGCTGATCTTCTCAGGTCCCTCCTTGGAAGTTAAGTCAACGCCACTGCAGGAGCAGCAGCTACTAGACCTTCTCCCAGTGCTGCTCCTGTTTCTGCTTCCGGTGGTTCTGCTATGGCTCCTGCTCCTTCTGCTACTTATGCAGCTGTAGTACACCTGACTCAGGTTCAATGGATAGCGTCGACATATGATGTTAGGAGTAGTGTCCTTCATATTTGCAAAAAGCAGCTCCCCTTACCCTAAGAAACCCAAAAGAAGCCATGGGAGTAGATGAAAAGAAACAAACAGAAAAACCTACTAAGGACGCACTTAACATTCCATTCATTTCTAACAGTAAAAACTACATTCAAGCTGTTAGTATTTCCTATGCTCATCACGACCCCATTCATTACGTTTACTTGCACTCGTATGTGACACAAATATTTCAATTATGTGGAAAGGCCTCTCCATATGGAGAACCAAGAGAGCCTACGCAAAGGACGAACTACCGTTATATAGAGAATATATGCACATGCCTATGATTTGCGCATTTGGCGGTAAGGGGTTTATTGCACCAATGACAAGATCTACAGTTTGGTGTATCAATAATATGCCATTACGTTTTGCCCATAATGTTGTTAGATTACAGCCAAAGCAGCGATTTTTTCTATCTTATAATAAGGGAACCTGGTTCCATATCTGGGGAATGATGGAACACAAGTTTTAGCACTTGAGGGAGATGGAAGAAAAACAACCCTATCTTCAGATGTCAACTCTAATTGTTTCTCCTTGGCTAGAGATGCCACCACCACTCTATGTACACAACAGCCCCCAGATAGACAAAGACTCATGAAACACATGCTCTTAGCAAGACTCAGCATTCCTCTTCACGAATCCTTTTGGGGGATAGCATCATCCTTTCACTGCCCTCGCCGCTGCACAATCCCAGATTTCCCCATTGTAATTCCCTCGACACATTGACAATCATGCCTGCAGCAGCTGCCTCTGTATCCCCTGCTGCTACCGCTCCGACCGATTTGTCTCCTGCTTCTGCTGCTTTTTCCGCCCGTGTCTGAGCCACTGACACACTCCCCGGAGCTGGGAAAAATGATCCAGGCTGCAACAGAACGCCTTGGCCCTTTGACCGCATGCCCTCACTGCTACTGGTGGTGTTGGCAGTATGATAAGCAGTCATTACCGCATCAAGCCCGTCCTTTGGTGCAAATGAGCCTTCAGACCCACCATGCATTGTCGTAAACAGGGAAGGTCCCAGTGCTTTGAATGGTGCCAGTTCCTCAGGCGGTTGGCTGATGGGAATACCACTGCCAGTGGGTTGGATGACGCCCACGGTGTTGCTATTGGGAAGCTGCTTGATAACCCTCACCATGCTGCTGCTGATCATGCCCAATTCTCCCTCCCCATTCAGTAAAAGTGCCTCCATATTTGGTAGCTCCTCCAGCCCATCGAGTGATGTCAGCAGGTCCACTCCTTCTCTCGCTGCTGCAGCTACCCCTGCTGCTGCAACTCCATCCCCTACTGCCATCACACCTGCACCAGTTGGTTTTGCCCCAGTTAATGTAACTTTCAAAGGAGCAGCTGCCATCCCTGAACTAGCTGTTGCTACCCCTGCTGCTGCTTCCCCTGCTGTTGCTACCCCTGCTGCTGCTACCCCTGCTGCTGCTACCCCTGCTGTTGCTACCCCTGCTGTTGCTACCCCTGCTGTTGCCACCCCTGCTGTTGCTACCCCTGCTGTTGCTACCCCTGCTGTTGCTACCCCTGCTGCTGCTATCCCTCCTGAAAATTTCACTTGTCTGTGATCCATTTCAGAGCCCTGTGCTCCTTCACACCCCCTGGTGGGTCGGAAAATCTTCTCCAAGCCACCGACCCTGCCATCCCCTCCTCCTACTTTCCCCTCTCCTTCCTCCCCCCTTACAGCAACATCTAGCCCACCGTTCTCCCACACATTGGTATACAGCAGAGAATCACATGAGTCTCCCACACATAACCTCCCTTGCCCTTCCTGTCCGTCCAACGCCCCTTGCAACAACTTAGGGTGGTCATACTCTGGGCCGTGGGAGGCACGACGGGGTGTTTCAAGCTGGTTAACGTCTTGACTGGGGGTGTGAAGTGGTAGAGGGGCAGCAGGGCACGACACGCTTCTCTGGCACGGGGAAGCTCTCTGCTGCTGAGGCAGGTCCTGCTGAAGCATCTGATGCTGGTGGTATTGGCCATGCTGCTGCTGCTGCTGCTGGCACTGTTGGTCCTGGTACTCAAATTTCACTGTGTGCTGTGCTTTGTGCCTTTTCCCCTGCTGGGCTCCTGTCGAGGTTGATACCGCCACATGTGGGGGCACCACAACCGGATATACGGGTACTTCAGCTACGTATGGGGTTGCTACAACAGGAGCGACAGTGAGACAAGTCCTGGTTGCAGCATCTGCGGTAGTGGCGACCTGATTTCCTAAGAGATATCTGAGAAGATCCGCCAGTAGGTGCATATCCTTCTGACGGATCCCTTCACCTGCTGCTCTGTTGCCCACCTCATCTGAGCCAGCACTACCAGTTGGGTGCTCCTCCCCTGTGCACATACCGACTTGCAGCGTCGGCCATACTCCGACAGGCTCCACCTTTGGTTCAACTTCAATGTGAGCATCGCTGGTGCCCATTGCAACAGCAGTCACATCCCTGCTGCGGTTGTGGAGTCCAGTAACGCTTCTCTGCCATGGCAGACCAGAACGAAGTTCTTGCTGCTGAAGGATCTGATGCTGGTGGTATTGGCCATGATGCTGCTGCTGCTGCTGCTGCACCAGCCCTTGCTGCACTGCTGCATGGCTGATTCGCTGTTGGTAGAGCAATAGCCCTTGCTGCACCAAACCTTGCTGCAGTGCTGCGCTGCTGCTTTGCTGCTGCTGGGGCAATAACCCTTGCCGCACTGCTCCTTTACTGTGTTGCTGCTCCTGGAGAAATAACCCTGGATGCACTAGCTGACTGTCGCTGCCAGCACTGGGTAGGAGAAATGGGGCAGGAGAGAGGCCAGAGTGCGAGCTGAACGGATAGGGGAGAGGGGAGGCGAGACCTAGATGTGCAGAGAGGTTACCAGCTCCCCTTGCTGCTCCCACGGCTGCTCCCACTGCTCCTCCTGTTCCCGCTACCTCCATCACTACTGGTGCTTCTGCGGCTCCCGCTGCTTCTCCTGTTGCCGCTACCACCGGAGCTATTGCTGCCTTTTCCTCCTCCGCCGACGTTTGAGTCGACTCTAGAATCACCGCTGTCGCTCGGCTCGCTGCACTGCTGCGCGGCATATCTACAGGCATCTCGCACGAGGAGTTCAGCAAGTGACTGACTGACTGGTGTCCTTTTGAGTTGTCTGAGGGTGAATCACCCCTGAAAGTCACGGCATGCACATTAACACCCTCAGGGAACTCATCGGCTGGTCCCAGGCCTCCCTTCCTATATGCAGTTCCACAAGCCCTTGCCACCTCACCACCTCCCACACCACCGGTACATCCTGCGTACAACTCATGCTGAAGCACCAAACGCCCTTCCCCTGCCATTCCTCTAACTCCCCTATCATGTCCCTGCTCATTATTCACCTGTTTTGAGCCACCAGCACCACCTGAGCCCCTCGCACCAGCTGAACCACTAGCGCCACTTGAGCCTCTAGCACCACCTGTGCTCCCAGCCCCCCCAGTGTCACCTGGTAGCTTCTCTGCTCCGCTCCTTTTCTGCGCTAAGAGGCACGGATTCACAGCTTGTAAAGGCAGTCCACCTGAGCCAGTAGCACCACCTTCACTACCAGCCAAACCTGTGCTCCCAGGCCCCCCAGCGTCACCTGGATGCTGCTCTGCTCCGCTCCCTTTCTGCACTAAGAGCCACGGATTCACACCCAGTATAGGCAGCCCTCCCTGTTGCTGTACTGCCATCCCCTGCTGTGCTGCCATCCCCTGTTGTGCTGCCATCCCCTGCTGTGCTGCCATCCTCTGCTGTGCTGCCATCCCCTGCTGTGCCACCATTGCTTGCTCCTCAGCTGTCAGGGAGCTTCGCTTGAGCACCCGCACAACCACCCACGACGCTGCGTCAATCCTTTGACCAATGCCAGCTTGAAGCTCTGGGATGTTGCCTTCGGGGCTGCTGCTGCTGCTGCTGCCGGCCAAACCACCAGCTGCACCAACCGTAAATCTGGTGTCTGGGTTAGTCGCTGGATCTGTTTTTTGAGAATTTTCAAAAAACAGATGAAGCTCTGGGCTGTTGGCTTCGGGGCTGCTGGTGCTGCTGGCCAAACCACCAGCTGCACCACCCGTACCCCTGGTGTATGGGTTGGTCGCTTCACCTTTTCTGCTGCTGTTTCTGTCTTTATCAGCACCACTTGCTGCATCAACACCAGCTGTGATGCTTTCATGCGTAGCAGGTGCGTATGCAGCAGCTGCTTCTGGATCCGATCTGGCTGATACAGTTACAGCAGGTGCCTTGTCTGTGGCAGCTGGTCCAACTTCAGGCGCATCCTCTGTCAGCCGGTACTCGTGCATCACCCAGTCAGTCTTGTCCCCTCCTGGCGCTCGCCCCCTGTTGGCCACAATTGCAAACACACAGACACACCCACACGCACGCATGCACGCACGCACACGCACGCGCACGCACACACACACACACACACACACACATACACACACACACACACACACCACCACCACCACCACCACCACCATCACCAACAACAACAACAACAACAACAACAACAACAACAACAACAAACAAACAAACAAACAAACAAACAAGAACAAACTAAGAAACAAACAATTTTCAAGATTGAGCTATACAAACAATTAGGAAATCTGAAATTCAAGCTCCAAACACAAACAAGAAATATCAAAACTCAAACCAACAACATAGCCCACGCAATATATTCAAAGATCCAAAATTACAATCCAAATACAAACGAGCATTCCAAAATAATGAGACAAACCGTCGACCCACCAAAGCCAACATCGTGTCTGTGACCGGGGAGAGGAAGGGAGAAGCAAGCACTTAACTTACTTGTAAAAGACATGAGTCTTCTTGAATCCCAGCCTGACTGCCTGGTCCCCTTTGCCATCATTACCACTGCTGCTGCCTGATAGTTGCGCGTACACTGGCTTATCCTTCCCTGTGGCCTTCTAGTACCCAGCAGCTGTGGCTCGGTTGGATCGGGACCCTGATGGGTACTTGAGGTCACGGGATGCGAAGAAGAACCACTCGCCATCGCCAGCAAAAGGGCAAGTTGCTCTGGCTGGGAGTGGCACAGAGGGAGGAATGAGAGGATAAGAAGGAAATGTGAGAGAATAAGAGAGGAAGAACCGCTTAACGTCAGCAACATCTAGTATCACTGGGGAGGAGAAGGAAAGGAGTGCTTTCTTTGTTCTCGCAGCTATTGGCCATTCTCTTTGTCTTTCGCATTGGGGCTGGTGCGAGATTTCAGCCAACTGCCGTTTGTCAGCTCTGGCTGTCAATATTAGCAATGAGGATACATATAGCAAACCCTAGATAGGTTGTACCCGCTATAGAGCACCCCACTGCAGGCTAGACAATAATATTCTGACACACCCCCATAGCCAAAGTGGGGTGTAATCAGCACAATGAGCAGGCATAGAGCAAGAATTCACAGTAGTAAGTAAAGCTAGAGTTAATCACAGCGGGCAAGTGAGAAGGAGGAGGAACTGTGAAGAGAGAGAAGATGGGAGGCAACGACTGAAGCTGCAGAGGCACGGGCACAGGAGCGGCTGACTCAGAGGCTACCGAAGCAAGGGCGACGGACTACTGGAGTAACTGGCTCGGCGGCTATAGACAAGCGGCAGGAGCAACGGACCCACTGGCGACTAGTGCAGCAGGCTCACTGGCTACCGAAGCAAGGGCGACGGACTACAGGCGCTGCAGGCGACACGACAGGTACCTCCACACGACCTCCTCCAACTGCCCCACACCCTCGACACACACCCCCTGCTCAAACCCTAGCTCCACTCCCACGGCACCCCCTTAAACCCTAAACCCCAGACTCCCACACATCCACCCCCCTCAGCGACAGCTGCAGCAGTGGGAGACGAAGGAGGAGGAGAAGTAGGGGATGGCGCACACAACCGACACCCCCACAACCGCCACCCCCACACTCCTCACCCCCAAACCCTAAAACGGGTGGGAGAGGGGCAGGAGCGCGGGGGACGGCAAAGGGGGACGGCGCGCTACCCCCAGGGCGCCAAAACGGACGGGCGGGACGGGGGGGGGTGGCGCGCGCGGCTCCCCAGGGCGCCGCGACGGACGGGCGGCGGGCGCGCGCGGCTCCCCAGGGCGCCGCGGCGGACGGGCGGGGGCCACGCGTCCCCCAGGGCGCCGCGACGAGCAGGGCGGGGGCCGCGCGTCCCCCCAGGGCACCGCGACGAGCAGGGCGGGGGCCGCGCGTCCCCCCAGGGCGCCGCGACGAGCAGGGCGGGGGCCGCGCGTCCCCCCAGGGCGCCGCGACAAGCAGGGCGGGGGCCGCGCGCGGGTCCCCACGGCATGAAACCGCCGCGCGCCTCGGGGCGCACGGCAGGAAGAAGTTGTCGCACGCCACGGGCCGTGCAACAGACAGAGTAGCAGCGGAAGAAGGTGGGCCCACAGGCCAGGAGCATTTCTGCTCTGATAGCATGTTAGAATAGTAGCTATAGTGAGGAGCCAGAGCTAGGTAAGCCCAAGCTAGGCAAGAGAAGTTTAGGCAAAAGAGAGGGTTTCACTAGCAGCAATGAGGATACATATAGCAAACCCTAGATGGGTTGTACCCGCTATAGAGCACCCCACTGCAGGCTAGACAATAATATTCTGACAGGGGAGTGCAGATAGAAAGGGCGGAGGGGGAAGGGGGGGGGGGGGGGGGGGGGGGGAGGGGAGGGGGGAGAGGGGGAGAGGGAAGAAGAAACAAGAAGGCTCTCATATCAAGGAATGGCAAAAATTCATATGATAAGTGAGGGTTGGTGTTCCAAACTGTTTGTCACTGAGCATGATAGGAATTTGTCAGTTCTCCTGTACCGATTCAGCTGCCACCTGCTTTGGAGTATGTTGGTTTGGCTGTTTTTGTTTTTCGAAACACAAGGGTTAATGAAATAATTGTGGTTCTTGGCCTCTCCCATATCAGATCATGTCCGTAGTTTTGACATGTCAAGTTTATGCGTGTCAATCCGAAGCGCGAGTGTTTTTGCGTGTCAATCACTGTAGCTTCGGTGTCATCTCGAAGCGTCTGTACGAAGATCCACGACGCAAGATCATTCGTTGGGAGTTACTCGCATATGCAAACGATTCGTGCACGTCCGTTCCTAGGTTTCAAGTAGGAAGCGGTGTGTTTTGATTGGCCATTGGGGGACCATCCGACTAGTTTCTGCGACGATCCTGGCTGGTTCGTAGATATTGACTGAGTCAGAGCTGAAAGTATCCGACGAATTGTACTGGCTATCAAGGCTGCGAAAAAATGACACGCTGCCAACAATGTTGGTGAGTGTCAAAATAGCAAATTGACACTAGTGATTTTGACATGTCAAAACTACGGACGAGCCCTCAGATGCTACTTCTGGAGCTTAGAAACCTGAATGGATGCCACCTGCTGCATTGGTGTTTGGTGGTCTGGACGATACTAAATAGGGAGAGGACATAAGGGGAGAGGGGTAAATCAGATCTGCAATGCCCAGTTCCGATGCACGATTCCTTGTTTACTGTTTGTTATATTGGTTTCTGCGTGAACACCTTTCGACGACGGCGTTAACCTAAGAAGGTCCTATTTCTGAAACCAGCAAGTCCGATTTCTTTCTGCTGGCACCTGGGGAATGGGGAGAGGGGTGCAGGTGATTTTTGGGTGGAGGAATTGAGGCGGGGAGGAGGGTGGTAATGGGAGGCGGGGAAGTGGGGAAGGGAGGGGAGAGGGGGGGTGTAAATGTGTGTGAGTCAACCTAATATTGATAGAATCAGTCTGAACCATGCCTGGCTTTTTTCTCACGCTTGTTCTCCATGCTTCGCTGGGCGTCAGATTTGAGAAACGCTTGATGCAACACGCATCTGAAAAGATTCGGAGTCTGTTCAGAATAGCAGGTGCAGTACCGTGTAGGTGACCTGGCTGTGGGGAACGCTGTGGGTCTATGTTTTGAGGCATACCTGGCAGTTCCCAAGGCTCGGACTTGTACAGATCCACGTCGCCGATCGCATTCCATGCGATGGGAAGGCCCTCCACGCGCCGCCTGAGGTAGTAACACAGCAGCTCCTCGTCCGTCGGCCGAAACCGAAACCCTGGCGGGAAACTACTAGTTTGCTCGAGAATTAACATGATTGCCCGCGCTATCCGCACGCGGGACTTCCTTTTGCGGTAGCAGTTGCACCTGGACTCATGCTCGCCTCCAAAAAGGTGAGCGCTTGAACATTTGAAGAGCAAGTTAAACTTGAAGTTGGATAGTCAGGCAATTGGGTCACATTTACGACCTAAAACGAGCATTGCGGAGTTGAGCTTTTTTGCAAACCTTTTCGCCTCACTTGGGCTAGTACTGCTGTATAACTGCTAATTCTGGCGGTTTCATCTTGCTGACTTTTTCTCTCAGGCCGCATTCTCAAGTTCCCCCACCAGCTGAAGTTCCCCCACGCGACTCGAAATGTTGACGTGGCATTAAATCACATTTGAAAGTTCCCTCACGCGGTTCGACTTTTCCCCACCTTGAGTCCAACCGGCCACGGTCGCAATGCCAGGCCTGTCCGTCATTGTGCGACGATGGAGATCGTGCCACGTTTGCTGCCTGTGGGGACTACGGTGTTAGACATGCCAATTTCGTGCACATGGCCGGCAACATATATTTCCTTCCTGCCCACGCAACCCATATCTGCCCTGCTTGCAAGAATCTGCCAATGATACCCAAGTTGACTTGATTTGACTATTGTGCCAAAGTTTTACGTCAGGCGCAACCGTCAGGCTCGGCCGTTTGGGTTTTGCCTGACGAGGTTAGTCCAACACTTGGTATGCGAGCTGGCGCATCAATTTCATTGGATACCGGACATGCGATGCTGGCGACATCTGTCGCCCGTCAAAATGGGGTTTGGTGGTCAGAGTGGGAGCATTCCCACCAAAACCCCCATCAGCTTTGAAAAAACGGGCTGGTGGGGGAACTTCGATGGTGGGGGAACTTAAGACCGCGGTCTCAGACATTCGATCTCAAAAAGTCTTGCTTTCAGCCGCTGGGAAGTGATTGTCCAGCAGGAACCAGACCAGAATGCTTCGAACAGAATGCAAGTGCTCGCTGTCAGAAATAGAGATACACCTAATTTCTTGTTGGGGGCTGAACATGCTAAACACACAGTTACTCCAGCTTGGTGAGCCACAGTCGCAGATATGTGAGCGAGCCCTCCAGGTGCCAAGTGGCACTTTACTAGTGGTGCTAGAGAAGAAGTCATACTCGAATCCAACAAAAAAAATCACTTTTTGGGGCCGGTAGCGGTCGGTAGCGCCCGGTAGCGCTACCGACCGCGTCAGCAAGCTGCCCGCGGGCAAAAACAATAAACCCCATGGCTTACGGCATGCCATTCGGGAGCCTCAACCCTAACATTTTGGGGTTGAGGCTCCCTCGGATGGCATGCCATCCGAATGGGTTTTAGTTTTTTCTTGCCCGCGGTCAGGTTGCTGACTCGATTGCAATATATTCTTCCAAAACATTATAAGTGTGATTTTTTTTGTACATTACAAGAGTGCATAGTGGCAGTCGGCTCTTGCGCTCTGTTCGGTTCAGTTTAGTCTCCCTACAAATCTGGGCAGAGATTAACCGTTATCACGTGTACAACCCAACTGCACGTTTGGGTCATTGGTGGTGGTGAGGCAGTTTTGTTGTCAGGCATGTACAAACCGAATGCTGCTCGTTAGAGTGGGCAGAGAAGACGAAAGAACCCAACGGGTGGGAAGATGTGATGGGCAGTGAACCCACCCCAGTGGGCA